TACATAGCATTGCTTCATTCTGGACATCTCGGCAGGCTGCTGACAAAGACGCCATGGCTGCAGGCCAAGCGTGCAGAAAGGAATTAATCTGCTGTTTCCATTAAAAGGGACAGAACCAGACTTTCTTTCCCTTCCTTTCATTTTTCTAACAGTAATGAATAGTGCTTCATAAATATCAAATCGGGCCATTATCTAGGTACAGAACAGCATGTGCCAGGCTGCTGTTAATATGGAAATTGAGGGAAATTAGCCTTGGCATTGACAAGAGAGGTACCAACCAGGAAGAGCTCTGATTCCCCAGGGGCTGCCCTGGCCGCGGCTGCATGTGAGGCAGCACAGAAATCAAAGGCACCAGAGCATCTAACCCCCCAAAAGCTGCAGCGCTGGGCGCAGAATGCACATTAAATATTGCTGTGTGTGCGTACGCAGTAATACAGGGTCATACTGATGCATCCACTGCACTGACAGACGAGGGCAGTGACCCAGAGCAGGGCCATGCAAGGGGACAAATCCCTGGCCAAGTTTTTCCAACCTGGGGGCTTCAAGTTAGTCTCCAACCCCCATGATATGGCCTCATCCTCCAGCTACCAGCACCTTGCTGAACTTGGGCAAGCCTCTAGCTCAGTGGTTCTCAACCTTGCTAGATTCAAGGCTTTCCTCCTTGGACCCACGCTGTGAACAGAGGGCACCTCCTTGCAAAAACGAATGTATTTATTGCAGTGCTTACCTCCTTGCAGAGAGGCTAGAGGAGCAGCCAGGCAGGGAGAGCCTGCCTTGCTCATCTCCTGGAGCTTGAGCCTGCTCTGATCTGCTTCTCTTCTCACACCTCGCTTAGGTTTTCAGGACACCCTAGAGCGCCCCATCACCCCGGTTGAGGATCACTGCTCTAGGTGCCCTCTGTGGTAGTTTTACATGGAGAAAAATTAATACCAGGGTGACCTTGTTCTTGCTATATTCTTCTCCCCTTCCACCCATCTCTGGGGTGATGATTCAAGGAGCCAGGTCCAGAGACAGACTCACTTCAGCAGCTTGATAGCTCCCCTCCCTCCTGGCCTCTGTGGAGCAATCGCACAGAGACAGAGGGCAGCCAGCGGGCTGGTTTCCTCTGGTCCCTGATATAGTTTAGCCTCCATGTGATTTTTCCCAGTTTGAATGCTGCTGCTATTGACTTTGCATCTGCTTGCTGCAGCAAGTAGGATCTGAGGGGACCCGTGCACTTTGCGGGTCATTCTGCCGCGCCGAGCGGGCCCCGTTTTGTGCTCACTGTCTCTAAGCAAGCACGCAGGGAGGCTACAATTGCAAGGTCAATGCCGAAGGCAGAGACGTTATTCCTGTATCTACCAGGGACTCACTGGGTGGCCTCAGGACGGTCATTTGACTTCTTTGTGCTTCGTTTCCTCACCTGTGGAGGATGAACAAGGACAGGACTCTTTACAAGTCAGGGAGGATTTCTAACTCTGCAGGGCACTGCAAGGCTCGGTGGATGGGAGGAACTAATTAGAGCGCAGACTTATACCATATATATAGCAGTTCGAACTTGTTCAGACTGCACTGTGGCTTCCAGGACAGAACCACAGGATATTTTTATGCTGGTATTCTTCTGACACAGTGTCATCGGTTCAGTAATGAGGCTGCTGCTGCAACATTTGACATTAATTTAATGGGAATCAGGGCAAATGAACTAATTCAATATAGATTAACTGTCCTTAGCAACATTAATTCAAAAGAAGAATTGGGCAACTCTTATGTTAAAATGATCTGTTTTCCTCTGGAAACAGGAGAGGCTATTAAAGCATTAGAGGGGTCGAAGTAGCAAACACTGAGAAGGCCAGACTCCCTTCTTTAAAGCGGCGCTAAGTCATTTTTTACCTGTAGAACCTGACTGAATTACAGTTTAAAACACACAAAATAAACAAAACCCATTAAAAAGTACTTTCCCTTTTACTGCATTAAATGGTATAGTAACATCCATCCTCTACTTGGTTGTTTTCATGAAGTCGGAACTTAAGGACCTAAGATTATAGTTCAGCTTGACCATTAGTCTCCAAAAACACAGTAAGTTCATGTCGAATGAGACCATCTGGGTTTGCTATTGTGTGCTTGTCTCCCAGGTGGAGTCACAGTCTCAGTGGGGGCAGGTGACAGGACAAGGAGCAATGGGCTCAAGCTGCAGCAAGGAAAGTTGAGGTTGGATATTAGCAAAAACTTTCTCACTAGGAGGCTGGTGAAGCCCTGGAACGAGTTCTCCAGAGCGGTGGTAGAGTCTCCATCCTTGGAGGATTTTAAGACCTACGTAGACAAACCCTTGGCTGGGATGATGCAGTTGGGGCTGGTCCTGCTAGGAGCAGGGGGTTGGACTAGACATGACCTCCTGAGGTCCCTTCAACCCTCATGGTCTATGATTCTGTGACAAGGTGCCAGGCTCTGACCACATAGGAAGAAATAGTCCCTGATCTAAGATGTGTTTAGCAGCATGGGAGCAGCCCCAGGGCAGGATCGCATTGAGAAACCCTACTCGCACCCACATTTATAGGATCCAAGTCAAAGGCACCAGTCTGACCCTAGAGATCCAGTGGCTCACACGTGCAAATCTGATCGCAGAATATGGGGCCAAAGAAGAAAATGCCCATTTCTCATTCCCAGCTTTCCCCGCTGTCTTGCTCTGATTGACCTTTTTCTCCCTTGGTTCTTGGATGTTTCTCACCGGGAGGAGGAAAGGAGGAGATGAATTCCTTGGCGCCAAAGCCCGCCAACAACTGGTTGTCCACCAGCAGAGGAAGTTGCTGGAGGAGTGAGATGGAAAGTCAAGCTCCTAAGACAGCTCCCCTTCAATTGCCATAGAGCTGCCCCTCATTTCTCAGGACGCTTCCTTCTGGAAAGTGTGCTAGACATACGGGAGACCTCTGATTGCTTAATGCTGTCTCTGGCCCTTGGTTCAGCTTCCCCACCAACAGCTCTTGTCCCCCTTTCCTATCTCAGGGCTATCCAGCTGCTTCCTCCAGCCAGCTCGGTGCATAATGCAGCTACGTTCGGGAAGAGCAGAAGTAGCCCCGGGGAGCAGAAGTAGCCAACATGGCCGAGGAGTTTCGCCAACAGCTCTTGGTGTGCAGAGCGGCGAGGACACGGGGTTTCACTCTTACTCGGGGAGGACACATGTGGCAACCTGCCCTGTTCAAGACGGTCAGTGTATTTCCTGCACAGTGATCTGAAAACCAGAGAAATGGTGCACAATTCCTGAAAACTGAGCTTCTATAAATAATTCCTGTGGGGGAGGGAAGCGGGGTTAAATTGACTCCTCAAAAACCATTTGTCAAAGAGCCTTTTGCAATGGCTGGGTTCTACCATACTTTTGTTTTTTTTTACACCCATCACCTCTTGGTGTTCATTTTGGGAAGTTCAGCTGTGTTTCTAGGAGCACCCCCCAATGCTCTAACCTAGGGCTGAACACCCCCAAGATAATAATGACGATTTACCATTTCTCCAACATGCGCCATGTGGAAATGCTGGGCTGATCTCAGTTACCTAAGGGTAAATGGAGAGCCTGCAGTTACCCCGGTGTCTAACAGAGATCAGAAGCTAGGCACAGGAAGATATGGCAGTGGAGACCGGATAAGGAGGTAGAACAAAATGACTGGGTACCTCTTCTCTTGCAACAAATGCTCTGGGATGAAGGAAGACTACGGTAGCCAAGCAGCTGTTAACCACAGCTGGAGCACCGGCTATGAAGTCAGAAGGAAGAGCAGGCTCGACTAGGACCATCCCCATTACTTTCTGCATATCTGAGGGTACATCTACACTGTTGTCCCAAAACAGGCTCCCCAGAGAGGGGGGGCAGTCTCCATCCTTGGAGGTTTTGAAGACCCGGGTAGACCAAGCCTTGGCTGGGATGACGCAGTTGGGGCTGGTCCTGCTTGGAGCAGGGGGTTGGACTGGATGTGACCTCCTGAGGTCCCTTCCACCCTCATTTTTAGGAGTCTCTGATTAATTGAACACTATGAAAGGATGGCCAAGTTAGCCAGTTCAACAGGCTAGCTCAGGTACCAGTCTATCTATGGGTGCACGGATCTCCCTGTGGGCTAATTTGCCCTGCGGAGAAGCAGGGCACTGAGTTCAGTGCTGCCAGGTCTCAAATGCTGTGATTAGCCAAGCTTGCTCGTTACAGGGCTGCCGTGCAGGCATCTGGGGAGCGTTTCACGAGGATGCCTCCAGGAGGTATTGCCCGGGCTGATTGCTAATTAGCTCCAGCTACCGAGAGCTCCTCCTCACCACTTGTGGTCTGATGCTACTCCAGCAGGGTGCTAGACAAGTGCCAGTCCCTCGAGTGTCTCAGCTGTAGGACCCCGCAGACAATGGACTTCTCTCCCTAGGCAGAGACCCCATATTGCGCCAAATAATGGATGTGGAGA